CAGAGAAGGGTATGTCTGGAACCAAACCCCAGCCCCTCTGACTAGTGCCAGAGGCCAGCATGATTGTTGCAATAGCTAAGCACATAAAAATGGGTTTGCTCTTATGATTGTCTCAAAGATATATTTGGCTCCTATGATTTGCCAGAATCCAGGGTCATGACCTACTTAGCTTGGGGTTGTCTGACCAGTCTACCCTGTGGCTGCTGTGCTAAGGAGGGCACTCACACAGTCTCCTTTACTCTCTCTCTGTCCTCAGAGTCCAAAATTGCAGTTAGGAGAGAAGCAACTGCTGGCATCCCAGCATTGCTTGGTCCCCCAACCCCAGTCCACCCATCTCCAGAATTTCATCACTACAAATTATGCTTCTAACTCTAAGGCCAGACATGTGTCTGGTTTTGGTAAATAATTTTGTAAAATTTCCCACCCCTGTGGGGAATCTTAAGGGGGAGTCCCAGATGTTCTCTGCTAAGTGAACCACTAGCTCAGCACCTCTGAGACAACCTGGAAGATTTCTACTCAGGAGCAGTGGAGGTGAGGGTTTGTGTGCTGAGAACATGCTCATGCCAGGTGTTTTGCACCCTTCTGTTGACTCTCTGCAACCCTGTCACCTCAGGACTTTTAATAGCCAGCATTATATAGACAAATGACCAAGATTCAGAGAATGTAAAGAACTGGCTCATGGTTACAGTGTACTAAGTCATGGAAACAGAAATTTTTTGTTTGTTTGTTTTTTGTTTTTATATTTTGTCTTTTTTGAGACAGGGCTTCTCTGTGTAGCTCTGGCTGTTGTGGAACTTGCTTTGTAGACCAGACTGGCCCCGAACTCACAGAGATCCACCTGGGATTAAAGATCTGAGCTGGGATTAAAGGTATGTGCCACCACTGCCCAGCTCAGATTTTCTACCCAGGCAGGTTTTTCCTTTTGAACTTGCAGAATATGCTCTGCCAGAACTTAAGGCAAATGATTGAATTTGTGAGATCCCAGAGAGGGCACACTATCCACAGACACCACTACCTACCAACAGACCATCTGGGTTCAATTGTGCAGGTATTCATTAGGCCCCTGCTCTGCCTTAATTCTGGGCCAAAGTTTTTTGATCTCTGCTGGAAACTAGAAGTTCATCTCCACCCGTCATCTGCAGCCCCAGCTGTGCTCACCCCGAGGGGCCTGAGGCTGTGCACATTCCTTGGATTCATTCCAGTGCTCATTGATGCTTCCCAGTCCTGGGAGGCCCGCCCTTCCCACCACCACCACTCAGACACATGAACACACATTTCCCCAGGGTTAGCCTTCATTGGTCCAAAACTACTCTCCTTTCTGGGCAGTAGAACAAGGTCCTTCTTTGAGCCCAACCCTTGAGACTATTCTGCCACGTCCCTGGCAGTACCAGAGGAGAAGCTGCATCCCGTAGCCCTGGGGTCCTGGCAGTACTCTGGGAGTGGGGGAAGGTTTAGACAAGGCTTCTCTGTGTCCTAGATGCCTCTGGCTACACTGTAAGGCCTCAACAGCAGCAATTGAGAAGTCAGGATAGGGATGAAGGGGCTGGCTGATTACAAGAGGAGCATGGAGAGACACACCCGTCACTGAGCCACATCCTGCACATTTACTACATGCAGACTGTTAATCTTTCATGGACACCATTCCCTAAATCTGAGCAGCCCAGATCCCAGGAACCCTGTACTCCTTTTACAGAAGAGAAAGCATATTGCTCTGACAGCTAGACAGCAAGACTTTTGACTTTGTCCTTAATATTACTGTATTTCTTCATGCTGTATTGCTTATCAAGAATTAAAAGTTTAAGAAATAGGGGGCTGGAGAGATGGCTCAGTGGTTAAGAGCACTGACTGCTCTTCCAGAGGACCTGGGTTCAATTCCCAGCACCCATATGGCAGCTCACAACTGTCTGTAACTCCAGGATCTAGCACCCTCACACAGATACACATACAGGCTAAAAACACCAATAAAATAATTTTTAAAAAGTTTAGGAAATAAATCCAAAAAAGGGATATCCAAGAGTTATGGGACGCAGTGCCAGATGGAGGTGGGAGAATAGGAAAGAAGCAGCTTCCTGACTTGAGGAAGGACTTGCCCCAATTCAGAAGGACCTTTAAATATTGCAGTGGTTGGAGGAAGAGTTTAGTGGTCCTGGAGAGCTGATTCAGATGAAGATAGATGAGGGAGGCAATTTCCTGGCCTTGAGTGGCAGGTACTGTGTGAGAACAGTGAAAACTGAAAGCGTTGGTTCTGGAAGATAGAAAGTTACCATAAAGCGTTGAGGATGACTCAGTGTTATCACTGAGACCCAAGTCCATTCCCAGCACTTGCATGTCAGCTCTCAACTGTCTTAACTCCAGTATCTGGGGATCTGGCATCCTCCTCTGGCCTCCACCGGTATTGCATGTGAATGGTGCACAGACACCCAGACAAAACACGTATACACATAAAATGAAGGAAAAAGGTTTTTAAAGTTGTGAAAATTAGGCTGGGCGCACGCCTTTAGCCCAGCTCTCGGGAGGCAGAGGCAGGTAGATTTCTGTGAGTTTGAGGCCAGCCTGCTCTACAGAGTGAATTCCAGGACTGGCTTGATAGCTACTGAGAAACCCTGTCTCAAAAAACCAGGAAGAAAAAAATTTGTGGAAGTTTCTTTGCATTTTGTCAAGGCATAGTTATCAGCTTTCTTACTTGCCAGTTTCCCAAATCTTATGTGTGTATAGAAATAGTAAAATGAGCCGGGCGGTGGTGGCGCACACCTTTAATCTCAGCACTCGGGAGGCAGAGGCAGGCGGATCTCTGTGAGTTCGAGGCCAGTCTGGTCTACAAGAGCGAGTTCCAGGACAGACACCAAAGCTACAGAGAAACCCTGTCTCAAAGAGAGAGAGAGAGAGAGAGAGAGAGAGAGAGAGAGAGAGAGAGGAGAGAGAAAAGAAAAGAAAGAAAGAAATAGTAAAATGGTTAAGGTAAGGATGGACAGCGGTCAGTATTCTTAGCATGGGCTCAGTAAGTGTCAGCCATCACTGCTGACCTTAGGAGGAGTGCTTGCTCTAATGCTAGTTCTGCTATTCTTGGGCTGGTGCCGAAGTTGATGGCTTTGAGTAGATGAATTCCCAAGCACTTTTAACAGGAACTCTCCAAGAAAGCATGGAGCAGAGACCTGCAAGCCGGGCCAGGCCCCAGGAGTTGGGAGTTTCATGATTCGTTCCAAGAGCTACAGGTTTAAGTAGAATTAGAAACTAATGTGAATTCCAGGCTACAGAATTAGGACAAAAGGTACAGAAGAGCCCTTGGCAAGTTTCTGTGTATCCATTCTGCCTTGTGGCTAGAGGACACATGACTTTTTTCCATCTTGAATCTGAGGCCTCTTATATGCTAGGTGTGTGCTCTTTACTACTGGGCCATATCCCCAGTGCATGCTCCCTCTCATCCATTCTGTCTCTGTCTCTCTGTCTCTCTCTCTGTCTCTCTCTCTCTGTCTCTCTCTCTCTGTCTCTCTCTCTCTGTCTCTCTCTCTCTGTCTCTCTCTCTCTCTCTCTCTCTCTCTCTCTCTCTCTCTCTCTCTCTCTCTCTCTCTCTCTCTCTCTCTTTTGGAGATAGGATCTTGCTAAGGCTGGCCTTGAATTTACCAGGCCTTGAACAGGGATTATAGGCCCACACTCTCAGGCCTGGCTATATCTAGGTTTCTGAGACCAAATTCCATTCTGTTTCCTTTGGAATCTTTGTATACTGTTGAAAAGGAAAAAAAAAAAACAGTAGAATATACTAAATAGTAATAAAAAGTAAAAACAGTTTCCTGAGAACTAACCTTAAGTTATGATCTGCCTTACTTAGTTCTAGCAGCTATGCTAAGTAGGAATGATTCTGAGTTCCCTTTACAGATACAGTAGAGTGGAGACTGGGCACAGTGGAACACTCAGGAAGCTGAGACAAGAGGATTTAGGATTTGGGGCCAGTCTGAGCTACCTAGTGAGACTCTGTCTTAAAGGGGGTGGGGAAAGATGTGGAATTTGAAGCTCGCTTTTAACATATGCTAAAATTGGAACAATACAGTGAAAATTAACATGCAGTGATGATACTCAAATTTATGAAGTATTCCATACTGTTTTTGTGTGGTGAGTTAAATTAACCAAAATGGGCTGGCAGGTGACTGAATTGGTAAATGCACTTGCAGGAGAGTCTGACACCTTAAGTTGGGTCATGCTGTATGCAGGGAGGATCATCTTACGATAACTTACCTAAAATCTAACTGGTGAAGAATCTAGACCATCTTATACCAGAGAACAAACTTCTTTCTTATTTTTGGAGGGGAGTGTGGGGGGGTGATTTCAAGATGTGGTTTCTCTGTGTAACCCTGGCTATCCTGGAACTCGCTTTTATAGACCAGGCTGGCCTTGAACCCAGAGATCCGCTTGCCTCTGTCTCCCAAGTACTGGGATCAAAGGCATGTGCCACTACTACACAGCTAAGAATAAGCTGTTTTTTTTTTTTTAATATTTATTATTTATACAATGATCTGTCTGCATGTATGCCTGCCCACCAGAAGAGGGCACCAGATCTCATAGATGGTTGTGAGCCACCATGTGGGAATTGAACTCAGGACCTCTGGAAGAGCAGCCAGTGCTCTTAACCTCTGAGCCATCTCTCCATCCCAAGAATAAGCTTTTAACTTGTATTTTAACACCTTCTCCATTTAGGCAGGATGGAGGAAAGGAAATATTGGCAAGTAGATATAGCAATGGAACAAGCCTTCATGTAGTAGGAGGCGCTTCCATGTGACTGATTGGATTGGAGGTCACTGCAGATTTTTGAGGACAGGAGTGATAGAACTAGGAAAAATGGCTTTAGAAGCAGGAACTTGTGCTTAATCTCAGCTCTATAAGGAACAGGGTCAAGAATAATAAATGGGAAAATTAGAGGAGACTTGAACTGAGGGAGAGACCATGAGCTTTAGGTTTTTGATAGTGTCTACTCATATTCCTAATGTTCATTTTTATTTCCTCTGTAGCCATCGTCAGCCAGTGGCAACAGGAGTCCAAAGAGAAGGTGGTATCCCTCTTGCTATCCCACCTGCCCCTACTTCAACCAGGCAACACAGAGGCCAAGTCCGAGTACATGAGACTGCTGCAGAAGGTGCTGGCCTACTCCATCGAGAGCAATGCCTTCATTGAGGAGAGCCGCCAACTTCTCTCCTATGCCCTCATCCACCCAGCCACCACGCTGGAGGACCGCAATGCTCTCGCCCTCTGGTTGAGCCATCTGGAAGAGCGGCTGGCTAGTGGTTTTCGCACCCGACCAGAGCCCTCCTACCATTCACGCCAGGGCTCAGATGAGTGGGGGGGACCCGCAGAGCTGACCCCTGGAGAGGCAGGACCAGGCTGGCAGGACAAGCCACCCCGAGAAAATGGACATGTACCCTTCCACCCATCCAGCTCAGTGCCGCCGGCCATCAACAGTATTGGGAGCAATGCAAACACAGGTGAGGGCTGTCTTCCTAGATGGCTTGAAAATAGAATGGGCTGTCTTCTCTTGCTTTTGGCCCCATCACCCTCTGAGCCTCAGCTTTATGAGGAAGGCAGTACAGAAGTTTGAAGTGGTCTTCTCAGAGCTGAATCTGACCTTTAGATGTGTCTTAGGAACTCACATTTGATTTGGTTTTAAAGAAATATAGTATATATATAAAATTTTTAAAATCAAATTTCTAGCTTCTCTGGAAAAGTCTATAGAGATCTAGAGCTTCACAGACTATATTCCTAGTGGCAGCTTTTGAGGGAGAGCTTATGCTCGTACATGAGCCCCTGAGACCCCCTCAGCATTTCTTTCCTTTATTTATTTACTTACATATTTAATGTGTGGGTGGATGTTTTGCTAGCCTGTCTTGTGTAACATGCACATACAGTATCTGAAGAGTCCAGAAGAGAGTTCCCTAGAATGAGAGTTGCAGATGGTTGTGAGCCACCATGTGGGTTCTGGGAACTGAACTCTGGTCCTCTGCAAGAGCAACAAGTGTTCTCAACCGCTGAACCATCTCTCCAGCCCTCCCTATCAACATTTCTCATCCCTGACTGGCTTCTGGGGACCCCTGGCAGGGATGGATACCATCCCCTGAGGTCTCTCTACCTCACTCAGGATTTTGGTCTCTGGTCTTATTAGCTTCCAGAATGAGAAGTATCTATAAATTTGACACTGCAGAGCGTCAGCTGTTGATAGTGGAGCATTGGTGCCAGGTGTTCTCAGCAGCACTATTGCAAATACAGCCTCACTTAAGCCTCTTCACACACCATTAGGCCTATGATTTCACAAATGAGGACTTAGAACTCAAAGAGCAGAAATCATAGATCACACGTAGAACAAGTAATGGAACTGGCCAAGGTTCAGACTTGAGCAGTCTAGGCCATAGGCCAGAACTGCCTCTGACCAGTGCTGTCCTGCTAACCAGCTAGGCCCAGAGGTTGGGTAAAACAGGAGCTGGTATTAAGGTACATTTTTGAGTTGTTAGCTGAGATGAACAGTGTGAGGCACTGTGGCTTTTCCAAACTGTGATGATTGGCATGACCTAATTGAAGGTGAGTGCTCACAGTTTAGCCTTAGGTGGTCAGCCCCTTCCACCAGGGGATGATCGTGTTCTCGGGCATTTCCAGGGAACTCTAGCAACCCCATTTACTTTGGATTTTTTTTCTAGCTTTGGAGTACCACACTTCTTGTACCAAGTTTGGAGGCTATATTAACATTGATTGTTCTGACTGGGAAATATTGAACACTTTGCTAGAAGCTATTTGGAAGACTTCTTAACTATAAACTAAAACTTGGCTTAGTTCATCATCTTGGCAAGATGATGTCAGAATTAAATCCAGGTTGTATGGCTGTGGAGCTCAAGAGTCCGAATACCTATACTGCACTACCTCTGCCAAAAAATGACCCACTGTGCTTCCTTACTCAGAACCCTAGTAGTAGACGTTTTGTTTTGTTTTGGCAACACTAGGGGTAGAACTCAGAATCTTGACTATACTAGACAAGGCTGCACCACTAAGCTACAGTCCCAGCACTCCAAGCAGCTTTGAAGAACCAAGAGAAAAGAATGAGCCATTCCATGTAGAGGGCACCCATGATCGAAAGGCATAATGGTGTTCAGTCATTGTGCGGCAGATCTTAAGATTCTCCAATAATCAGTCATCAGTCACGCCTTTAATCCCAGCACTCCTGAGGCAGAGGCAAGCAGATCTCTGTGAGCTTGAGGCCAGCCCGGTTTACAAGAGTGAGTTCCAGGAGAGGCTCTAAAACTACAGAGAAACCCTGTCTTTTAAAAAAAAAAAAAAAAAAAAGATTCTCCAGTGATCATATTGGTGCATGCTAAGCTAACTTGTACCTATTGAAGACTTCATATGGACAAAGAAACAAATTCTGTCCGAGACCACTATTTCAGAGATGGTGAGTTAGGATTTGAAGTCAGATCTTAAGGACACTCTTTGGGACTTTGAAGAATGAATGAAACTTTTGGATGTCAGACAGTTGCAGGAAGCAGGAAACCATTAAAATATTTTTGAGTGGGAAGCAAAGATTGGCCTGGGAGGGCAGGCAGGGTGAGTTTGGTGTACTGCCAAGGACAGACCAGGATTTCTTGGAGAGTGTGAGGCTGTGGATCTGCAGCCGGCATTCCTGTTTTTATAATCTGCAGGCAGTGGCCAGCCTCCACCCCAACGCAGGCCAAGCAAGACTCCTCAGGAATTGCGTGGTCACTCCAGTCAGGGTAATTTCCTGCCCTCTCAGCCTCACCAGCCCACTTCTTGGCTGAGAAGGGAGGAAGGAGGTGGCCAGGGGCACCAAGACAGGCACAAAGGCCTGTATTGAGGGTTTTCCAGCTCTAGGGCTTGGAGTGCCATCTTCTTCCAAGAGGCCCCAAATGGGGCAGAAGCCAGAATCCACAGTGTCCATAAACTCGGAAGGAGCCTGGAGTAGAGGACTCCAACAGGATCCTGGGCAGTAGCAGAGCCTGACACTATCTGTATGCAGTGGGGCAGTTCGTGTCTTCTCCCTTGGGTAACTTTCTGGCTAGGAGCATCGATATTGTCCCAGATTGTAAGAGAAGGTGCTTTTTGGGTCTGTACCAGGCTGGCCTCCTGGGTGTGGTGTCACTGGGACGCTTACAGGAACCCCGTCCTGTACTCTTTCTTTCTCCTCATAGTCCCCTGTGGGAACTGGGGCAAAGTAGTTCAGTTTCCTGGGCCTTGTCCTCATCTAACCAGGCTTTTTGGCTTTTTCTGTTTCTCTCTAGGCTGCCACGGGAACTTCTAGATTCCCTGTGCTGAGCTCACAGGCTCTCTTAACACTCATTTGTTCTTTATGAAACTCAATTGGAAGGCCCCTGTGTGTTGTATCCTGCCCCTGAGCTTGGGGTGCAAAAATGATTGGGTCAGGTTGCTCTCCTTTCTAAGTCCACAGACCAGTACAAGAAGCTGGCTAGCACAAGGGCAACAAGTGTCTGGCTTGCAGTAGCCAAAGGAGGTGCTTGAGCAAGACACAGAGGCCGAAGCAGTTGATGGTGAAGCAGTGCTAGGACAGGGAAACGGCAGTGACAAGGTCTGGATGTTCAGAGGATACTGCATTGTCTAGAGAATCAACGCAGAGCCCTTTGCTTACCTCAGAAATGTAGTAGACCAAGTGCAATTCTCTTAGGGAAGAGGGTACTGACTTCAACTGAGTTACCAGGCTGCTTAGTGATCAGTTTGAATTCAGTCCAGGAAAAAATGGAGACATAGGGTCCAGTCAAAGGACATGTTAGAGAAGCAGTTTATTAGGGCTGGTGAGATGGCTCAGTGGTTAAGAGCATTGCCTGCTCTTCCAAAGGTCCTGAGTTCAATTCCCAGGAACCACATGGTGGCTCACAACCATCTGTAATGAGGTCTAGTGCCCTCTTCTGGCCTTCAGGCATACACACAGAAAGGATATTGTATACTAAATAAATAAATAAATATTTTTTTTTAAAAAGCCGTTTATTAGCTAGGCATGACGGTATGTATAACTATAATCCCAATATGTGAGAGACTGAGGCAGGAGGATCATGAGTTTGAGGTCTGCCTGAGCTGTATAGTGAGTTCCAGGCCACTACAGCAATACTCTTTCTTGAGCTCCACCCACCCAACCCCACACAAAGTAAAAAGGGACTCAACGCACTTGGTTTATTTGTAAGTACTAGGGAAACAATTTCCTAGTCCATCACCTCTGTGATTGCTGAGAATCTGATGATGTCAAGTACAGATCTCTGCTTCATGGGTTGTCTGTCTAGCAAAGGGGTTTAGTTAATACGCAAACAACTATGTAAGAGAGTCTGGGTTGTGATGAGTGCTTAAAGGTGAGAATAATTGGGAGGGAAGGACTAGAAGGCATTGGCAAGAGGACAGTTAACTGCGGCTTGAGACTGCCAGCTGCTAAGATTGGGGAGTTGAGAATGTGGTAGGGTTCTGTGGTAGAGTACTTGTATGGTTTGCAGGAGGCTCTGGGTTTGTTCTTCAGTATCACAGAAAAGGGAACAGAAAGAAAATGAGCCAACGTCAGAATCCTTTGGTGTAAACTTGAGTGTTTGCAGCAAACATTTGATGCTCAGGAACCAGGGTGGTCACATATATCTACTGCTAGTACTTAAGAGACAGAACCACAAGAATGCTTTGCGAGGCCCGTCTCAAAAGAGGACTGGGGTGTTTGGTCCAGAGATGTGAGCCAAGGTCTGGGCTGTAGGAGATGAGAGGTGGGTGACTAGGGGCCAGAGTTTTCAGGTGTGTGGAAGAGTTTGAATTTTGTTATCAGTATGAAGGAAGCCACCAGGATCTAAACAGGCCAAATTTGCATATTTGGAAGTGTCACTGTCTAGTTGAGTGCGGTGGCACATGCCTGTAATTCTATCACATAGGAAGATCACTGAGTTTGAGGTCAGCCTGGCTACAAATTAAGAACCATCTCTAGGGGGCTGGAGAGATGGCTCAGAGGTTAAGAGCGTTGCCTGCTCTTCCAAAGGTCCTGAGTTCAATTCCCAGCAACCACATGGTGGCTCACAACCATCTGTAATGGAGTCTTCTGGCTTGCAGGCATACACACAGACAGAATATTGTGTACATAATAAATAATAAAATATTAAAAAAAAGAACCATCTCTAAAAAGCCCCCACCCATAAAAAAATCAGCATGGCTGCTGTAAGGAGAGGGGGGCTGCATGCCTTTAATCCCAGCATTTGGATCCCCAGCATTTGGATCTCTGTGAATTCAAGGCCAGTCTGGTCTACAGAGCGAGGAGTTCCAGGACAGCCAGGGCAGAGAAACCCTGTCTTGAAACAAAAAAAAAAAAAAAAGGAAAGGAAAGGGGGCTGTAAGTGGTGAGAATGAAGGGAAGAATCCAGTTAGGCATGCCAATAATTCCAACCACAGCTACTGGGGTTTAGGTGAGAGTATGAGCAAAGTAATGGGACAAGTTCAGAGGAATCTGGCAGCAAGCTGGGAAGTTGGGTGTCTGGTGAGAGGCTGAACAATACCTATAGGCAGTGCCCTTAGGCCCCTTGGCTCCTTCCCTTCCACTTATTAGATTATAGGATTGAGCTGGCCATGATCTTTTTTATGCTCAGATCCCCCAACCTGACCTCTTGCTTTTCCTTTTCTGGCCAGGTCTCCCCTGCCAAATCCACCCTAGCCCGCTGAAGCGCTCCATGTCACTCATCCCTACAAGCCCCCAGGCCCCTGGTGAGTGGCCGAGTCCAGAGGAGCTTGGGGCCCGGGCTGCTTTCACCACGCCCGACCACGCACCCCTCTCGCCACAGAGCAGTGTGGCCTCCTCTGGCAGTGAGCAGACGGAGGAGCAGGGCTCCAGCCGGAACACTTTCCAGGAGGATGGCAGCGGGATGAAAGGTGCATCCAGAGGACAGTGCCAGAACCCTTCTCCAGGGTGTGGGGTGGGCTGAAAGAACAGAAAATTGCTGTAGCTGCCACCTCAGGGAGGGGACAGGTCTGAAGGCAATAGATAGCCCCTCCCCTCAGGCAACCAGAGCTCAAGATAATTGATAGAAGAGATTAAATCATTGAGGCCATCCTAGCAGCTCAGTGGGTCAGGTGTCTGCTGGGGAAGAATGTCTGAACGGGCCTCACTAGGCCAGTAGAGGTAGCTTCTGATCCCAACCCATCCCAACTCACTGGAGTTTCTAAGGTTATTGGTGACTTAGGCCTGATCTTTCCCCCACAACTCCACCACCACCAGTATTCATTATTCATCTCTTGACCTACCCTCCCTCCTTTTCCACAGATGTGCCCTCATGGCTCAAGAGCCTCCGCTTGCACAAGTATGCTGCTTTGTTCTCACAGATGAGCTATGAAGAGATGATGACCCTAACAGAGCAGCATCTAGAGTCGCAGGTGAATCCGAGGGACTACTGGGGAGGTATTAGGCCAGCACCATGGGTGCTGTCAAGTCTCCTTTGTCCCTGGTCTCTGTTGGGACACCCCATGTACCTCACCAGTATCCAGCTTCCTGTCTCCCTCTGTCCTCGTCACAGAATGTCACCAAAGGTGCCCGGCACAAGATAGCCCTGAGCATCCAGAAGCTTCGTGAAAGACAGAGCGTCCTCAAGTCCCTAGAGAAGGTAAGTACCTAGGATAGGATCCTCATCTTCCAGGCAGGTGGAAGGCTTTGGATCAAACTTTTTGGCAGCTGCCTTGGCTTCCTCATTCCTGCAGTCTGATTCTGGTGGCCCCAACCTTGGGCAGCTGGATTCCAAAGACCTTGAGCAAGTCGTCATCAGAGGACTCACTTAGTGCTGCCTGAGAGGCTTCCTTCTGCCCTCTCCCTCTGTTCCCTCCCTGTCCTGGTTTGTGATTCAAGAATGTCTCCATCTTTCAACATTAGACACGATAGATTTTTATTTTGTGGGTGAGTTGCAGATGTACGAAAGATCTTTTCATTTTACTTTCTTCTCTACTCAGTCCTGCATCTGCTTTCATTTATCCTTTCCCTGCTGCCTTCATCTGGTTTTTCCTCCTCCTTGACTGTCTTAGTCTGCTTCTCTGCTTGCTTCTTGAAGGGAAGAAAGAGTTTACCTGGCTGAAGAGCCAGAACTTTTCTCATCTGACCTCTGTGTTGGAACCTTGCATTCCAAGGGCTTCTCTGACCTTTGTGTGACCACGCTTGTGTGGTCATTTTTTTGTACCACCATGAGGTCTGTGCCTAACGTAGCTACATCCTCCCTTGCAGGATGTGCTGGAAGGTGGCAATCTGCGGAACGCTCTGCAGGAGCTGCAGCAGATCATCATCACCCCTATCAAGGCCTACAGTGTCCTTCAGGCCACCCCTACTGCCAAGGATGGGGGTCGGGGGGAGCCGCTACTGCCAGGTGCTGAGCCTCCCCTCACCCATCTTGGAACAGACAAGGGCACTGAGGCCAAGGACCCTCCAGCTGCAGAGAACTATCCTTCTCCACCAGCTCCAGCTCCCACTGATAGCAGTGAGCCAGCCCCAGCTCCGGTCGCTGACGGAGACATCCCCAGCCAGTTTACACGGGTGATGGGCAAAGGTGAGAGCAGCCAGTGCCTAGCACAGAATCCTGAAGCAGAATACTAAGTGAATCTTAAAGACCTTAGAGGTGAACCTTCAGAGTAGCTGAAACTAAGTGGGTCTAAACCTGCCTGCAGGCGACTCTGGGCTGATGGTACTAGCCCTTGCCTTCAAAGCCCAAGATTGAGACTCACCCAGCCCAAGTTTCTTGTCCTTCTGCACCCACCAACTGGTACTGGGTAGGCTTGTGACTGACTAAGCTCTGCCCTTTCCCATGTTCCTCAGTATGCACCCAGCTGCTGGTGTCCCGACCAGATGAGGAGAACATCACCAGTTACCTCCAGCTCATTGAAAAGTGCCTGACTCATGAGGTAAGACCTTCACTAGGCTCCCAAGAGGGAAAGAGACTGCTTTACCCCTCTCAGAGCCCATAGTGCACAAGGGTCCAGGTTCCAGTCATCCTCTCCAGTGTTGCCTTCAAAGGTTTCTCAGCTTTTGTACACACCCTGTGGGAAGAGGCCACCTCCCACCTGTTCTTGGTGCCAGTACTTGTCCAAGTTTCCCAAGTCACCTCACAAAACGCATCTGCTGGTTCAAGGCCTTGCCCCTTGTTCACAAGGGGAGATGACTGCACTCAGTCTCCCTCAGCTAGCCTGTAAGCATGGTCCTCTTTCCAGCATCCCCCTTCTCCCCAATTCTAGGCTTTCACAGAGACACAGAAGAAGCGGCTACTGTCCTGGAAGCAGCAAGTGCTGAAACTTCTCCGGACATTTCCGCGAAAAGCTGCATTGGACATGCAGAACTACCGGCAGCAGAAGGGGTAGGTGGGCACCTTCCTAGGCCCATGGAGTGTGGCATGTGGGTGCCTAAAGGGGTGATTGTGTTTTGGAATGGACCCCCTACTATACTTACAGAGTTTCTAGAAAATCAAGGTGATGTACAACTTAAAAATGAATGCCAGGTGTGAGGGTGCGCACCTTTAATCCCAGAACTAGACAGGCAGAGGCAGGTTTATCTCTGAATTCAAGGATATCATGACTGCATAGGGAAACCCTGTCTCAAATAGATTTTAAATTAATTAATTAAAAAAATATTAAAAAAGGGAGGGAGAAAGAAAATGGATGGGTGTGATAGCACAGGACTTTAATCCCAGCACTCGAGAGGCAAAGGCAAGTAGATCTATGACTGAAGGAATGGGGAGGTGGGATTCTTGGCAAGAGACTGATTTGTGGAAAGGTGCTGACATTTGATCATCCTTGAGAAAAAATTCTTAAGAGAAAGGGCTCTGAAGAGGGAGAGCTGGTCTTTAGTCCAGAGAAACTTCATTAGGGGAGATGTATCATCATGTCCATACGCAGCCACAATGGGGCTTTGAAGGGACAAAGAGAGCCTTCCTTTCAAATCTGGAGAACAAAGTGGAGTTCTGACTCTTACCAGATTCCCAGGGAAGTGGGCAGCTTTATGCCACATGATCCGCTTACATGCTGTGGAGCACAGAAGTAGGTAGTAGGTGCTTTGCAGCTGCCAGAGGGAGGCCACAAGGTCACACAGCACAGTGTTCTTTCAGCTCTTATTTATGTTTGTGTGTGGGGGCACACGTGCCATAGTGAGGATCACAGGACAGCTTTTAGGAGTCATTTCTCTGGGTTCCAGGTATCAGACTCTGGTCCATTGGTCTTGGTGGCAAGCACCTTAACCTACTGAGCCTTCTTGTGGACCTAGTGTATACTTTTATCAGCTCTGTCTCCCAGAGAGAGAGCTACAGGGAGTGTGCCCTGACTTGTGGGAAACAGCAAAATAAGGCAGCCAGAGTCTGATCCAGCAGTTAGAGCACAAGTATGCAAGGACTGGGGCCTTGTGTTCAGAGAGCTTGCCTACTGTGCTTGAGGCCCTGGCTCTATCCAGCACCACAGAAGAGAAAGAGCAGGATGCTGGGGTGGCCAAAACCCAGCACATATCTGTGGAGTAGACACTACTCCTGGACCTTTGTCTCCTTACCTGTATGCAGAAGACTCTGGGGTCCTTTCCCCCTTGAGAAGTGACATTTGGAGAACTGCTTTGAGGGTACAGCAAGGAAACCTCTATGCTCCCTATATCCACCTTGAGTCAGGAAGAGACAGGAATGTCGGGTGCAAGGACATGATCAGGGAATTCTTGCTCAGAGAAGATTGGGGTTTTTGTCCTACCCACTGGAGTTGAGGGAAGAACAAGAAATAAGGACCCTTCTGCCTAAGCTAACACCTTGCCCTCTGCTCTCTGACAGCTGGGCATTTGGCTCCAACTCACTCCCCATAGCTGGCTCTGTGGGGATAGGTGTGGCCCGGCGGACCCAGCGGCAGTTCCCAATGCCTCCTCGGGCCCTCCCACCTGGCAGGATGGGCCTCCTGAGCCCTTCAGGCATTGGGGGTGTCTCTCCTCGACATGCCCTTACCAGCCCCAGTCTTGGGGGTCAGGGCCGACAGGTGAGCCGGCTAGTATGGAAGTCCAAGTACTTCTGGGTTTAGGGTGGCGGTATCTGAGATATGTGTCTGTGTCTTGGGCCTTGGTCTCCCCTACTCTCACCCTGAGACTTTCTCCCCATGTTCTATGCAGAACCTGTGGTTTGCCAACCCTGGAGGCAGTAACAGCATGCCCAGCCAGAGCCGCAGCTCTGTGCAGCGTACTCACTCGCTCCCAGTCCACTCGTCACCCCAGGCTATTCTCATGTTCCCTCCAGGTAAGGTGCTTGCCTGTGGCATTAAGACTGGCCTGCCTCCTCAGGTGACTTTTGTCTCCTCACCTGGGTCTCACATCCACTCTCCCATCTGAATTTGTAGCAGGTCTCTCCAGGCTGTGCACCATCTCCCTGTCTTTATGGAGGTGTTTTTCCTTCTGTAGCTGTTAAGTCTATTGGGACTCTCTCCCCTTCACCGAGTACCTTCTCTCCCCTCTGCTGACGTGCCTTTTCTTCTTGCCATGGTCTCAGTGTTGGTATTGATTTGTCGCCGTCTCCTTTAGGGTTTCACTTAGTACTTAGAAGGGGTTGAGTCTGAGAGGTCAGTGAGGGTTTCGTAGAGGAGATTGTAATCTGTCAGCCCACCTATGTTCTGTCAGAGGTCAGTGACCTCTGGAACCAATGACTCTACCTCTTAAATGAGATACTGTGGTAAAGGGTGGTGAAGGTGGACTCTTTCTCCTCCGCTCACACCAGCCTGGAGGTCAGAAGGGGTGAATGGCAGGTAGCAGATCAAAGGTATGCTAGCTCTGAGTCCCTGCTTGACTGGACAAGGGATAGTGGCTCCTGGCTGGTCTTCTGCATGCTTGGGCTAGGCATGACATTTGTGACAGGAAGCTGGCTTCAGTGGGCTGCTGTGGACAGGTTTTAGATTTGCAGGTGACCTAAGCTCTACAGTCGTAAAGTTTCTGAATTGATGAGACACTGTAGGCCTCCAACTGTGGTACCAGAGAGACTGTGTTTGTCCAAGGGCTGGGCTTGGTGCATTGTGAGCATATATTGTATAAACGGTATTAGGTGAATGGGTGTGCCATGGGTGCAAAAGGGAGGAATTTTTCCAGGCAGTGTATTGATCTGTCAAGCAGCCTTCTAGCACTTGTTGGATGGAGCCCTCTTTGATACTTGTGGGAAGGCTGCTCAGATATGTGCTCATCTCACCAGTTACCAATCAGCTACAAAGAGTGTTCAAGTTCAAAGCTTGTTTTTAAGGGAGATGGGGTCTCCTCAGGACCTAATCTCAGGGTTTATAGATGGCTGGGGATGAGAGAGATGAGACTTGAGATAGGAGTCAGACCATAGGAGTAAAGCTCAAAAACTCAGTAGTTCTGAGATGAGGCACTTGGTGTGGTTCCCAAGCTCTCTTGCAGGTGCTAAATAAGTCCTTTTAAGAAGTGTTTTGAGGATAGGCTTCGTGGCTGCTGTCCTCTTCAGGACTCCTGTTCATCCTGCCTGGCGTATATCCTGTCTGGAGGAACAAGTCCAAGTGGGCACAAGAAGGGCTTTAGCGGTGCTGGAGAGATGGCTCAGTGGTTAAGAGCACTGCCTGCTCTTCCAAAGGTCCTGAGTTCAATTCCCGCAACCACACATGGTGGCTCACAACCATCTGTAATGAGGTCTGGTGCCCTCTTCTGGCCTACAGACATACACACAGACAGAATATTGTATACATAATAAATTTTTTTTTTTTTTTTTTAAAAAGAAGGGCTTTAGCTTAGCTTTTACACCAAGCATAGAGGGTGGGCTATTAGTCGGCAAGAAATTGCCCAGTGTCTAGGGCAGGTGCCCAGGCTGCCCAAGGCAACTTGGAATCCGTGTCCATAATAGTCAGAGTCTATGTGTGGCCTCCAGGAATGCTCCTTCAGCTTCACATCACTTCCTCTGTCTGAAAAAATTTGGCTTTTTCTGCATTGCCAAACTCCTACCTTGGCTGTCTCTCTGCCTTCTTTGTGACACCCATTGGCCTGTGTTTGTCTCTTCCAAGCCATGTCTTCTACCCCTTTTGTATGCATGCTTTTTGAACTATTTATCTCTTGGCCCCAGCCCCATGCCAGCAATCTCTGTCTCCCATTCCTTCCTTCTTTCCATTCTAATTGGTCCTCTCCTCACAACCACCATTCTCTTCTCTCCCATCCAGACTGCCCGGTACCTGGGCCTGACCTGGAGATCAATCCCACCCTGGAGTCTCTGTGTCTGAGCATGACAGAACACGCCTTGGGTGGTGAGCATTTCCTCTTCCCCTGACCTAGCTCCCACCTACCCAGCATCTCCAGCTCTGAACCCAGCAACTTGGAGCCATCCTGAGGGTCCCAAGGGGAGGCCAGACTCCAGGGAGGGCCTGCCTGGGATGACAGGCTATGTGAGTGCCTTTCCTCAGGCCTCCCACCAGCTCCTGATCTTCCTCCCTTCCTCCCTTTCTTACCACAGATGGGACAGACAAAACCTCCACCATCTGACGGGACCCACAGTCCAGCGCACTCATAGGCTCCCTGGGCGGCGGGCGGGGGCCATCCCCCAACAGGCTTCTTCTCGGCAGCGAGAGGGTGGGCTGGCGCAGCTATACATTCTGATATTTTTCTACTCATCCTCTTAACTTTTGTTTAACATTGGCACATGCCTTGCTCACTCCCAGGCTCATTGAGGGATCTCGACTGAGGCCAGGGATCAGAGAGGGCAGCCAGGGCAAGGAGCAAGGACTGGCCAGACTGCCTACCCCTTCCCTCCCCAATCTCCCACCAGCCCTATCCCACCCCTGCCTCCTCCTAGACTGCTGACACCTGTCCTTCCCCAAGAGAGCAGACTTCTTAGAGATATTGACCACCACCTTGTGCAGCCTGCCCTTCAGAAACATGACAGTGGGGGATGCAGTGTGGACAGCCTGCTCACCAGTATGTCACTGGAGAAGAGCCCCTCTCCCCTGGTTTCTACCCTTCATCATTCCTATCCCAGACAGTCACCATCTTCCTCCCCCTCTTCTTTGCCATGTTTATCAGAGGTTCTCTACAATTAATTTCTTAGGCCTATTTAAGATACATATTTATATAGTTCTTAACGGTTTTTCTCTGATCATTCCCTGTCATTTTTAGAATCCCCAGGCCTCTCTCTGAGCCAGGACAGTGGCAGGGGGAACCTGAACTTTATGAGAGGAGAGGGCAGAGCCCCCTCCTCCAGACCCCCTCGCCCTTCCCCATCCCAGCCCTGGCTCCTAGATGCAGAGGTTGAAGGTGGGCAGCCCTGGGCCCGCAGTGAGGTCAGGAAGTCTGTTGCCTTAATGTCCCTTTCCCCCACCAACATAACCCTTCTCTGCTCCCCAGGTCTGTTAGCAAAAGATTTGTGGGTTGGAACCAGGGAAAGGGGATTGTTGGGTTTTTGTTTTCTTGCCTATCCCCTTTCTGTCAACCTTCCCCTACCCCCATTATGTCATGACCTCATGTAAGTGGAACACTATATCATAACCCAGAGGTGCAGCCCAGCCTGAGTCACACAAACCCTCTGCCCCCCATTACTGATGAGGGCTGGTGCTGGGGCCCAGGAGGGAGGGAATTTGGGGGTTCAGGCTGTGGGGAAGCCAGGGTCCCCTATTCCAAACTCCTTTTCCCCCCCTCAACCTATACCCTCATTGGGACATTCTCAAGCTTTTCACATGAAAAGGAAAAAAATGTTATTTTTAGATACATTTTATGAATAACTTTTGTTATGAATATGGCTGGTAACCATTGTGTATGTTATTAAAGATACAAAATGTTGGGAAAAAAAAAAAAAACAAAAAACCAAAAAAAAAAAAATTGAAAACCACAGCCTTCCCTGCACTATCAGCCCATCCCCCAGACCTTGCCCCTGCCTCCTGGTCTATGGACCTCCCCTGCTCTGAGCCCAGGGAGGAAGAAGCCAGGGGGTGGAGTGGCAATGGGGACCTGCCTGTGGTCCCCACCACCTCGCCCAGTGCCGGGCTGGGCGGGGTGTCAGGTGTATTTATGTACCTCTTGCACACTCATCAACCTATGCAAGTCCCCACCCCGGCCCTCCAGGTTTCTGTGCCTTTTGCTCATTCCCCTCTAACTCCCAGGCTTCTCCGGCCCCTCCCACTAACTGTGGGAAGTGGGGTGAAAGGCCACCTGTTTGAAATAAGCAGGTTTCCCTCTCATGGGACCCTCACCTCCACAAGCTGGTCTAGTCTTGTCTTGTTCACTTCCCATCAGGGTGACTGACCCTGCTTGGCACTGGAAGGTGGTAAGGGATACCCTCCCCCAGAGGGAGGTGAGAGCTTGCCCCCCCCACCTGACAGCAGAGTGCAGGACGCAGGCGGCCCCACTCTGACAGGCAGGACCCTGACCCTCCGACTCCCGAGCCCTCTCCATGGTTTCACCCTATCCTACCCACTTTTGTTCCCAGCCCCACTGGCAGAATCAGCTTTGAGTAACTGTACATTTTCTCGCTGTTGGAGAAGACTTATTTGTTGGAGTTTCAATTGTTAATGGTCTGGGCTTATTTTGGAAAAAAAAAAAAAAAAAACCTAAAAGATTGTGATTTTTGTTACAATGCATTTCCTGGGAAATCCATGGGGCCTTGATTTTGTGCGTCACTTAAGTGGAGATCGTTGAACACCTGGGGGTAGGGATGGGCTGGGTGAAGGGGAACACAAGCTCTGGGAGGTGAAGTCAAGAGAAGTTAGCTTTATTAACAGCAAAGACTGAGGGGTGGGGATGAACAAAGGGCTCACAAAACAGACAGCTAGAAAAGTGCTTCCCTGCCCTAATGGTGTCTGTGCTGGCCTCCTCTGAAGGCCTTGAGGCTCAGTCACTGTCACTGTCAGCCTCACTGGAATCAGAAGCTGCAGCTTCACTGCCATCCTCCTGAGCCGAGTGCTCACTGCCACTGGGGAAAGGGCTGGCGCTCCGGCTGCGGCTCCTACTCTGGCTGCGGCTCCGCTGGCCACCCCCATCACTGCCACTGTCAGAGTCATTGTCACTGCCTCTACGGGCCTGCCCTCTCTCCTCATCATCAGAGTCAGCATCATCTTCTGAATCAGCATCACTACCGAAAATCTCTTCTTTGTCCCGAGCAGCACGAGCTTCATCCTCACTGCTCTCGTCCTCGCCGCTGCCACTCTTGTCACTTGCTTCATCCCTGTCACCCTCCTCCCGGTCACTCTCACTGCCAGAGCGCTCATCCTCACTGCCTTCCTTTTCACTACTGCTGCCCTTCTCGTGCTCCTCATCTGCAAGGAAGCAGGGACAGGTGAGATCCCATTGCCCACCCTCCCAGGGCTCCCCGGATGTGACCCGTCCTTTACCTGAGCCCCCAGCTTCTTTCTCTTCAGCCTCCATCTCCTCTTCCTCCTCTTCCTCTGGTTCGTGGTTTTCCAACTGAGCCTTTCGTGCCTCCTGGAACCAGTGAATTGGGAAGATGGATGATGTTCTGACCCTGTCCTTACCCACCACTAACCTCCCTGTGGGTGTCTTGGGCCAATAGAGCTTGTTACCTGGGCTTCTAATTCCTTTTCATTCATGTCACGGTGTTTGACCACAAGCAGAGCATTGGTACCTGACTGAACCCCAGCCTTGGCCCGACGCTTACTAAGACGGACCCTGCAGTGGACAATTGTAAAAGGTGGAAGAGTCAGTTAAAAACTACACTAGGGGGCTGAAGAGACGGCTCAGAAGTTAAGAGCACTGGCTGTTCTTCCAGAGGACCCCAAGTTCAATTCCCAGCAACCACATGGTGGCTCACAACCATCTGTAATGATATCTGATGCCCTCTTCTGGCCTGTAGATAGAACAATATACATAACAAATAAATCTTTGGGACCAGTCTCACTTGATACCTGGTTCCCTATCAATGTATGGCCCAGAGCATATCAGAATACAGAGTATACATACATGTACATGGGAATTAAGGGCAGTTAATGTCTCTGATTTGATTTACCCAACTTTAAGGGGTTTCTTTTAAGATACATATACTTTTAAGTGAATGGTGGTGTTTGCATTTATATGTGTGTATGCAGTGCTGTCAGAAGCCAGAAGAGGGCATCAGATTCTCCTGGCAACTAGAGTTAAGCAGTTAGATGCTGTGTGAGAACTGGGAAAAGAACCAGGGTCCTCTGGAAGAGCAGCCAATATTCATTGCTGAGCAATTTCACAAGGCCCCTTACCCAACTTCTTTTTTTTTTTTTTTTTTTCGAGACAGGGTTTCTCCGTAGCTTTTTTTGTTCCTGTCCTGGAACTAGGAACTACCCAACTCTTGAAAACAAGGGAATGGCAAATTTTGGGTTTCTGGCTTTTAAATAAGAACACAGCAGCAGTATAATGAAGCTGGATTGTAATAATCACTTAGTGCTGTCACTCTGCCTGTTTTGGTGTGTCCGTCCGTCCCCCCCACCTTGAGACAGGGTTTTTCTGTAAACAAACAGTCTTGCTGTCCTGGAACTCTCTATGTAGACCAGGCTGGCCTCAAACTCTGAGAGAGATCTGCCTGCCTCTGCCTCCTGAGTGCTGAGATTAAAGGCGTGCGCCACCACTGCCCAGCTACCCCATCTGTTTTCACATCTTCAGCTAGACTCCAGGATCAGAGCCTGTCACCTCTGTACTGAATAGAAACTCAAACCACAGCCAACAGGACAAGTTAGCTTTTAGCCCTCAAAGAATTCTGAAGTGACACTCTTGCAGTTGTATCTAATATTTCATTTAAAACCTGCTGAAGGGGGGTTGGTTGGTAAAGTGCCATGGCGGAAGGAGAAAACTCTTTCCCCCAAGTTATCCTGATTTCGTATGCATGCACACAAAATAAGAGCAACAGGAAAACAACTGATAGCAGCCCTCAATGAACATAAACACATCACACACAAAAACTGTTGAAACTAGGAATGTATCAATATCAGGGGACTTGCCTACCATGTGAGAAAAATGACCATGTTTGTATCCTGTATTATGAGAAGATTTTCTTTCTGGTTTACGGTATCAGAACCAGGTCAGGCCCACATTAATAAGCATGCTCCTGCTGCTCGCACAAACATAGAGCAAATCCTTAGGTACAAATGACCTCAGAGTAGTTATTTTGTGGCCTCAAAAACCACAGGGCTAGCAGAGCAGTAGTGCACACCTTAATCCAAGCACTCAGGAGGCAGAGGCAGTTGGATCTCCGAATTTGAGACCAGCCTGGTCTACAGAGCAAGTTCTAGGTCAGCCAGAGCTACAGAGAGAAACCCTGTCTTGAAAAACTAAAAAAGAAACTACAGGGCCAAACTAGTGAAACAGTGCTGAGTACCTGGTCTCCAGTTCATTGTAGTAGACCCCGTCGCCCTCCCGAAAGATGAAGAAGTAGTTTTCCTCATAGCCCTTACTGGCCTTGTTCTTCACATTCCAGTTGTATTCCCGAGCAATCTTGTAGTCATACCTGTGGAGGAGGTACAGGGTCAGCCCCATTTGTTCTGAGTAGTAAATGGGACACACTTGAGAATTCCAAAGCCTAACCCTTACACATCATCTGGTGCATAGTCCATCTCTTCCTCCTGGTCCCGTTTTCGTTTCTTCAGTGTCTCTTCCACAGGTAGAAAATAAGCTACAAACTGGTTCCCTTCCTCATCCATCATGCCCCTGGTTGTGGGGAGAAGAAAGTAAAGGTCAAAGGCAAAGAAGTAACAAAGCTGGGTGTGGTAAGACATGCCTGTAAATTCACCTTTCCAGAGGTTGAGGCAAGAGGAATGCCAGGAGTTTGAGGTCAACCTGAGCAACAGGGTCATACCATACCCTATTTCAAAAACATCCAAATGGGGGAGAGGCAACAAGCAGCAGGCCAAGGTATAAAGCAAGACCACTGACCTGATCATGGCCTGAGACATCATCTCTAGTGCAGCTGCCCCACTCGTGTCCTTAGGGGCTGGGTCTGAATCAAAAATGACCTGAGCACATGGGTTGATCCACATCTGGGAAATAGAAGACACTAAAGTTAGTATGGACTGATTAGGCACAGGAAGTTGACCCTGCTTCCTACCCATCCCAAACCTGACCTTGAAGTCTGGGAAGACAGGCATGACCTCCACTGGTGTCACTCGGGGCTTGCTGTAATGCTGGGAGATCTGTTAGAACAAAAAGGGTGAGAAAGGAAGAACCTGAGGCGCTCTCTTGCTTTTATCCCTTTCTTCCAATTACCAATTTCTGGGCATCTTCAAAAGTCTTCTCAATAGCTGTAATCTGACTGTCCCTGTCTTTGTATATTTCTTCCTCTGTGAACTGCTGCTTCACAGAAACCCCAATCCTAGAAGTGAAGAGAAAGTTGTCAGGGGCCTCTGGACATCTCTAAAGTCTTGCCCGCTTCCCCTACCACCTGTTTGTTACTTACTTGACCTCAGGCTTCTCATTGGAAATGCCATATCTGTTGAACTCAGTGGAGATATACTCTGTCTTCCGCATCCATGGCACCACCTTCGCGTGCTGCTGGGATCTGGAGTAGACCAGGCACCTCAGGGTCCCATGCTTGGCAGAGCCAACCCAGTATCCATATGGTACCACCTTACCTCTTAGAGCTGGTGGGAGCCTGAATCTCCTCTTCCAAGAGCTTCTCATCAGCTGGATCCAGAAGAACTAGGGAGTGAGGGGCAGGACTGTGAGGGATGCCCAGGCCTGCCCTTGCTGGCCTAAAGCAGACCCTCCCTGTTTCCTCACACACCATTGGGATCGATGCGATAGGTGTCAGGGTTGATGAGATCAATGGTGACCCCCAGGTCAGGCTCAGTCAGAAGGTCATGTTTGTGCTGTTTCTCCAAAGAAGTTGCTTTATACTGAACAAACCTGGGTGGGAAAACATGCCTATTATAATTTTCTTTTTTTTTTTTTTTCGGTTTTTCGAGACAGGGTTTCTCTGTGGCTTTGGAGCCTGTCCTGGAACTAGCTCTGTAGACCAGGCTGGTCTAGAACTCACAGAGATCCGCCTGCCTCTGCCTCCCAAGTGCTGGGATTAAAGGCGTGTGCGACCATCACCCGGCTCTCTTATAATTTTCTGATCCACCCTCATCTACCACATCCTCCCTTCTTAGAAGCTAAGCCTCTATGGAGAGGAACTCAATGTTTCCAGCACTGGCAGCTTCTCAGAGGAGTATCACATGCTGCTTTGTCTACTAGTATCTATGGAGCACCTATGTGCTGGCACAGGGAGGAAGATGCAGTAAGTACTCCTTACCTTCAGTGAACTATTTCTTGGGAGTTTTTCCATCCTTGAACTCAGTCTTACCTGTTCTGGTCGAAGGGATAGGTGATGAACTTGGGGTCAAATGGGATGTCTGGAAGGCTATTGCAGTATTTGACTCGACAGACCACTCCAGACCTAGGGAAACAGTGGCTGCCTCAAAATTAGGTCTCACAAGCTTGCAGAGATGACTCAGCAGTTAAGAGGGAGTACTTGTCCTGTAGACAAGTTCCATACCGGGCTGCTGACAACCACCTGTAACTCCAGATCCAGGGGGATCTGACACCTGGGCCTTTGTAGGTAGTTGCACAAAACATGCAATAATAGAAACAGCTGAAGTTGGTGGCACAGGCTTTTAATCCCTGTACTCAGGAGGCAAGGAGACGGCTGAGAGTTTAGGCTAGTGATGGTTTACATAGCAAGTTACAGGCTAGTCAGGACTAAAGAGTAAGACTGTCTCAAAAGAAAGAATTGCTGGGCTGCTGCTGGTCTTTAACCCCAGCACTCAGGAAGCAGAGGTGGGCAGATCTCTGAGTTTGAGGCCAGCCTGGTCTACAGAGTGAGTTCCAATTACACAAACCCGGGGCTGGAGAGATGGCTCAGCGGTTTAGAGCATTGCCTGCTCTTCCAAAGGTCCTGAGTTCGATTCCCAGCAACCACATGGTGGCTCACAACCATCTATAATGAGGTCTGGTGCCCTCTTCTGGCCTTCAGGCATACACACAGAAAGAATATTGTATACATAATAAATAAATAAATATTAAAAAAAAATTACACACTGTCTCAAGGAAAAAATTAGGAATAATAATTTTTAAACAATAAACAGCCTCACGATAAGACTGTCAGCAGGTAAAGGCATCTGCTGTCACGCCTGAGGACCTGAGTTTAAACTCTCAGACCTATATCTATAGTGTGGAAAAAAATTGACCCTATAACTACTCTTTCGACTGCCACACATAGCCTAGGTGTGTGTACACAAGATTTAAAAAAAAAAAAAAAAAAACCTAGGCTTCTGCTGCTGGGTATGGCCACGATAGCGAGTCTGAGGTCATTCTAGGCCACTTTATGAGACATTCAAAAGCACTAAAGAAAAAGAAAAGGCCCCCCCAACCACTCTGCCAATGCTGCCAGCGTCCCTGTTCCACTCCTCCAGGAAAACGTAGTGGGGCTCACCTCTCAGGCAAGGTCCGGTGGGAATTGGGCCTGGGGGGATTGAGAAAGAGAATGATGTCAAGGGCTTGACAGGTGTGTGCAAAGAAGCTTCCCGGAATTTCTGAAGGAGTGATGCTTTCGCGAAAGAAGGCTCGATCCCCTTAGGACGGAGCCCCGCATGCTTCACTAAAATGCACTGAGGACTAGGTCCCTTCCTGAGACTCCCCAAGGTGGAATTCCGGAACTGGATGGCAGAGAACCAGGGAGTGACCACAGAGGCCTAGCAGGGGCCGCCCCTCCGCCAAGGGTGAACACTGCACGGCATCGCGAGCCGACCTGAGGGAACCAGCGATTGCACCCCTCGGCCTAGTCCCCGGCTAGCAGCTCACAGCACAAAAGCAAACTGCAGGTGGCAGGAGACCTACCTGTGGCCATCTTCCCGCTGGGCCTGGGTCTGGATGGTGGGCGCCATCGCGACCAGGCGACGGCGGCGCGGACTGCGTCCTCGCTGGCCGCGGGCCGACGCGGAGGGGCGTGCCGACTTCGAGACGCCGGATCTGAGGCCAGGCCCCGGTGGGCGCCGGGATCTGCGGGTAAAGGCGGGATGAAGTGGACCAGCGAGAAGGGCTCGGGCGAGCCTCGTAAGCCTTAAGAAAAGCGCGGGCAGCGCCGGCCTCGGACTCGCAGCTGCCGCCCCAACAGCCACCGAGCCGCTGACGAGCGGACAGGTAGCCTCAGGCCGCAAGGCCTGCGGGGAAACAGAGTGCGGTCAGTCTCTCTCACCGATTGGCAAGCTGGAGGCGAAGGGGCGGAGCGAGGCGAAAACCGCTCTTGTGATTGGTGGAAAGATATCCCAGTCTCGGCCTCGGTTTTGAGACGGCAGAGGCGAACACATATCCTCTCCTCTCATTGGCTAACCTGTCTGGGAGGCGGAGCTAACTAGCAAACTAAGCCCGCACACTGAAGAAGCGGAAGACAGACTGGAGCTGGAGCAGACGCGCTTGTGACGTACATCCGGAGTTCTACCTAAGGAAAATGGCTGCGCCCCAGCAGCAGGCTTCGGCGGTTTCCTCTGCAGCGGGTGTGTCAGGTCCGGGTTCTGCCGGTGGCCCGGGTCCCCAGCAACAGCCGCAACCGACGCAACTGGTGGGACCAGGCCAAAGCGGGCTCTTGCAGCAGCAACAACAGGACTTCGATCCTGTGCAGCGCTACAAGATGCTCATCCCGCAACTGAAGGAGAGTCTCCAGGTGATGAACTGCACTGCGGGGGAGCGAGCGGGGTTTGGCGGGCGATCGAGAAGATGCGCGAGGTGTTGCAGGAGAGATAGACAGGGAAGCGAAGTTAGACCTGCTGTCAGTGTGTCTGTGCCCAACCAAAGCGAGGCTCTGTCCAGCCGGTCGTAGTGGTGCAGGTTTTAATCCCAGCGCTCGGGAGGCAAAGGCAGGGGGGGGGGGATCTCTGAGTTCGAGGCTAGCCTGGTCTACAGAGCGAGTTCCAGGCCAGCCAGGGCCACATAGCGAGACCCAGTGGAGAGAGAGAAAATGAGAATGAATGAGAGAACAGAATTTTAGCCGAGTTTGGAGGCACACGCCTTTAATCCCAGCACTCAGGAGACAGGGGCAGGCGGATCTCTGAGTTCAAGGCCAGCCTGGTCTACAGACTTAGTTCCAGGATAGCCGGGGCTGCACAGAGAAATCTTGTTGAGGTTTGAAGGAGAAACAGCCCTGATCGTTGAGTCCTGTGCAGAAGACCGGCACACGTATCGTTTCTAGCAGAGCTGACTGGTAAAGAGTATGTCGGAAGTTACTGGTGAGAGTTCCCAAATGAGAGCAGGCCTCTAGGAAAATGTCGGCAGAGATTCCTCTGGGGATGGCAATGAGCTTTAGTCTGTATTATCAGGATGAAAAGAAGGCCTGAGGCTTTCGAGAGTACAGCTCCTCCTCGGGCGACATCACCTCCTACATCTTACTTTTCTCTCATTATCTTTTGAAAACTAGACTTTGATGAAGGTTGCAGCCCAGAACCTGATTCAGAACACTAACATTGACAATGGACAGTGAGTAAAGCCCCTCTCCCCACCTCTGCCTTAGAAACTCCTCCCCCACTGCCCCACCCCCAGTCTGTGGTCTCTAGTTCTGCACTGATGCTGGTGTCCCAGAGATTGGAAATCATTCCTCAAACAGCCTTTTCTCCCTGGCCATAGGAAGAGCAGTGATGGACCCATACAGCGATTTGACAAGTGTCTGGAAGAGTTCTACGCTCTCTGTGATCAGCTGGAACTCTGCTTGGTAAGGAACTTTCTAGATGCTTTGTGACCAAGCTCTGATTAATTCCACACAACAACATTTTTGTTTGTTTGTTTAGTTGGTTTTTCGAGTCAGGGTGTCTCTGTGTAGTCCTGGCTGTCCTGGAACTAGCTCTATAGACCAGGATGGCCTTGAACTCAGAGGCCTCTGCCTCCCTAGTGCTGAGCTTAAAGGTGCGTTCCACCACTGCCTAGCAACAACCTTGTTTTTGAGCTGTTTTGAGATAAAACCACTCAGGAATACAGGCTCTTCTGACACTAGTCTGTAGAACAGGCAGGCCTCAGACTTTGGAGGCAGTGATTCTCCTGCCTCCAAATTCTGAGCGTGTTGAGATGACATGCAGTACCACAGCTATCTCTGAATCCTCAGTCACTCGGTCACCCATCGTCTCTTCCTCTGAGACACACGTGTCCTTCAGCTGATTCTTACCCTCACAGGCCTTCTAGTTCAGTGGTGTGACAGATATAAGACCATAGAGGAACAGGTCGGTGTGACCAAGGGTGTGATGACAGGAGTCTGGACCAGAGTGGCGAAACCTGTGTGGGACAAGGACATTCGGGAGCATGCAGAAGCCTGAAGTAGGGAGAGTGACAGAGAAGGCTGCTGGTGACCGGGGAGCTCCACCTGACAGTCTGGCTGGGAGAAGGGCTTGGGGACCTATGATGTGAGCATGGCTGATTGATTTGTGGCAAACCCAGGACTCTTGAGTGGGCAGGCCGAGAAGCAGGTGCAGAGCATAGGCCAGGTCCATGGCCATATGGGGAGGTAGTGTAGATATCTGGAAAGTGTTTGCTATGCTAGCCTACTTTGCTTCCTAACACCCACATAAAAAGCTGTGCGTGCCTATAATCCCAGTGCTTGGGAGGTGGAGATAATTGATCTTTGAGGCTCAGTAGCCCACAACCCAGCCTAATTGACTAGCTTCAGGGTGCAGTGAAAGATCCTGTCCAAAAGGGAGGGGGGCAGGTCCTGAGGAACAACATGTGAGGTTGACCTTTGTCCATGCTGCCTCATCCACATGCACACACACACACACACACACACACACACACACACACACACAAGTTCCCCTAAGGGACCAAGCGTGCTGGTGTAGTCCTTCCTAGTTTCCCAGCTGCTTAAGAGGCTGAAGCAGGAGGGCCAAAATTCAAGACCCGACAGGGTGAGTAGGTGAGATCTTGCTTTAAAGGGAAAAAGAACTGGGCATGGTGGCTCGTGTCTGTAATCTTAATAGTTAAGAGACTGATGCAGGAGATCTACCATGAGTTCCAGGCTAGCCGGGGCTAGATCAAAACCTATTTCAAAAAAAATAAAAAATAGGTAGCCGGGCGGTGGTGGCGCCCGCCTTTAATCCCAGCACTCGGGAGGCAGAGGCAGGCGGATCTCTGTGAGTTCAAGACCAGCCTGGTCTACAGAGCTAGTTCCAGGACAGGCTCCAAAGCTACAGAGAAACCCTGTCTCAAAAAACCAAAAATAAATAAATAAATAAATAAATAAATAAAAATTAAAAGCAAGAAGATTGGTGATNTCAAAAAACCAAAAATAAATAAATAAATAAATAAATAAAAATTAAAAGCAAGAAGATTGGTGATGTATCTGAGTGTTAGGATTTACCTAACACAAGTAAAGCTGTAGATTGAATCCCCAGTACAACACTTACCAGTCAGTTCCCCTCGGAATGTCAGGAGACTCATCTGAGGTGTATAGGCTAGGTCTCATTAGACTTTGGATAAAATCTAAGTGCAAGCCGTGCAGAGGTAGTGCATGCCTTTACTCCTAGCAGAGACAGGTGGATCTCTGTGAGTTTGAGACCAGCCTGGTCTACAGAGTGAGTTCCAGGACAGGTTCCAAAGCTACACAAAGAATCCCTGACTCATAAAAACCAAAACCAAACAAACAAACAAACAAACAAAAAAAAAGAACAGCCGGGCGGTGGTGGTGCACGCCTTTAATCCCAGCACTCGGGAGGCAGAGGCAGGCGGATCTCTGTGAGTTCGAGACCAGCCTGATCTACAAGAGCTAGTTCCAGGACAGGCTCCAAAGTCACAGAGAAACCCTGTCTCAAAAAAAACCAAAAAAAAAAAAAAAGCTAAAACTGGAGTTGGGAGCCCCAAGGAGACAGTCATGTTTGCGCTGTGAGGAAGGAGGAGGGGCAGATAGAAATAAGAAATAGAAGCTTGAAGGCTTTGCCAGGCCATCCAACTGCTGGACTCTGGGGAAGGGGTTTCCATGTGAGAGCTGGAGCTATAGTTGAAATTAGGAAGCATGTTAGATGATTTCTGGAGCTGTTCACCCCCTAAAAAGGGCACAAGAACTGAAGCCAGGTTCCAAGTCCAGCGTGGTGTTGCTAGCTCATTAGTCACATGGTGGGATGGGTACCGTGACCCAGGTTCACCTCTGCAGAATCCAGCCCTTGCCACCCAGCTGTCTGTGTGTGTGTGTGTGTGTGTGTGTGTGTGTGACGGGGAGACGAGAAACAGAAAGAAACAAGCCGGCCTGATCCACCTCCCCGTGGCTGGGAATATAGGCATGTACCCTACGCCCGATAAGAAACCTCTTATCAGGGTTTCTGCTGGCCTCTGTCTAGCTAGGAGAAGGACACTGCAGTCTGCCACACAGAACAGCTAATCGGAATTTTGTTGCAAGATGGAATTACTTTGGCTGGATTAGGAGGACTACTCCTACCAAGGGAGTCTGCTCTAACAAGGCCTCACAAGAAGCAGCAGTTTGGGGAGAGGGTGGGAAGCAAGGAGCAGAGGTGCAGGCCCCATCAGTGTGCAGAGGAGGGACCGGGGGGGGGGGGGGGGGGGGGGGGGGGGGGCGGGGGGGGGGGGGGGGGGGGGGGGGGGGGGGGGGGGGGGGGGGGGGGGGGGGGGGGGGGGAGGATAGAGTGCTGCCCCTAAGGGAGAGGACAACCACTAGGTACGGGTGCCATCCAGGGAATGGCACTCAAGCCCGGGGTTTAGGACAGGCACAACAGCAGCTAATGTTCATCAGTTAGGACTTAAAACAGTGTAGCGCCAGTACCATTTCACACACCTGTTCCATTCTCACCAGACAAGAGAGGCACCTCTTCAACCCATTTAAGGAATTGGGCATGACGTTACACTTTTTTAAAGATTTAATTATTTATTATATGTACAGTGTTCTGCCTGCATACATGTCTGCAGGGCAGGAGGGCACCAGATCTCATTACAGATGGTCATGAGTCACCATATGGTTGCTGGGAATTGAACGCAGGAACTCTGAAAGAGCAGCCAGTGCTCTTAACCTCTGAGCTACCTCTCTAGCCCAACACTTTAAATTTTTCTAAATTATTACATTTTGTTGTGGGCAGGGTGTGCTTGTGCACATTGAGAGTTCAGGAGACGCCCTGCGGTAGTTGATTTCTTTCTGCCTTCCGCTGTGTGAATCCTGGGCAGACAGGACCCAGTTCATCAGGCTTGGCAGCAAGTGTCTTTCCTATAGAGCCACCTGTCACTAGCCCGTCGTGTACACTCATAATCCTAGCTCTCAGGAGGATAAAGTTGTCGGGTTTAAAAGTTTGAGGCCAGGCTTGTCTGCATAGCAAGTCTGTGACTCAAGCCACCGCAAAAACACTTAATAGCTTGGTGCCAGTGAGATCCCATGGCCCCATGTCCTAGGTGATCCAGCAAGAGGCTGGCAAGACCAGATACTGGCCTTGGAGACCCAAAGCTGGTCAGCTTAGCCCCAGATTGAGTGATGGGGGGGTGGGGTTGGCAGGTCCCTGGAAACAATGCTGTTGTTCTCTCTCCTGCCTTCCCACAGCGCCTGGCCCACGAATGCCTTTCACAGAGCTGTGACAGCGCCAAGCACTCTCCGACATTGGTACCCACAGCCACCAAGCCAGATGCAGTGCAACCGGACAGCTTGCCCTATCCTCAGTACCTGGCTGTCATCAAAGCCCAGATTACCTGTGCCAAAGACATTCACACTGCCCTGCTGGACTGTGCCAACAAGGTCACAGGCAAGATGACTGCAGCCTCAGCTGGCCCTGGGGGCAGTCTCTGAGGTCTTGGGGGCAGGGGCAGGGAGAATGAAGTGCAGCCTAAGGCAAAACAGGTGGCTCCTGTTTCTGATTTGTCATGCCAGGGCAATGTAGTTGAAACCAGCAGGGGGCAGCAAAGGCTTACAGGCGCACAGACCAGGCCTAGCCTCTGCTGCCACCCACTCTGCTCCCTGACCTAGGGTGGACCTCCCCACCAGGCCGCTGATGACCTCTGTCAGGGACTCTACCTCCTCCCTCACCTCATCTCCCACCTGACCCCGGGTGTGGCGCTGACTGGACCCTTTAGATCTTGCTCCATCTATCCCAGTGGATGCACTAGTTTCTAACTCATCTTCCTCCAATCTTGCCTCTCTCTACCAGTCCCCTTTTGTTGCCTTTTGCCCCCAACTCCTAAGTGTGACCATATGTATGTAAGGGGAACCAAATTGCTGGGTTACCTGGGGCTAGAGAAGGGACTTCCTGGCCCAGAAAAGGAGAAGTGCAGAAATGTAGGCCCTGACCTCAGCACACACCAACTACGAGCAGTTTAGGTCCCAGCTCAACCCTGCGTCAGCAGAGCTCTGGCAGGGAGCATTGTGCAATATGTGGCCTGCTCAAAGGGACTCCTGGGTCCCTATATTTTTAGCACCAAAGCAGAAGTGAAAAGGCCCTAGCAGGAATGAATCATGGGTTCTGGGGAAGAACCCAGCTCCTCCGGGAAGCAGGCCCTGGAGAGGGGGCTTGAGGGAGGTAGGGAGAACCCCACAAGCACCCCATTTCCCAAGGGGAGTGGGAGTTCAGCCACAGGCTGCAGGCCTGGATAAGTGCTAGATAGAGCTACCAACCTGGGCCCAGCTGCCAGCTGAAAGGCTAGAGTGACAGACTGTTTCCCATGCCACCAACCAGTGGCCTCATGGGCGGGACCCTGTTTCAAAAACCTCTGAGACCACCTGGCGATGGTGGCGCACGCCTTTAATCCCAGCACTTGGGAGGCAGAGGCAGGCGGATCTCTGAGTTTGAGGCCAGCCTGATCTACAAGAGCTAGTTCCAGGATAGGCTCCCAAACTACAGCAAAATCCTATCTCAAAAAATAAATCAATCAAACAAACAAAACAAAACCTGAGGCCCTGGGGACATCTATCTATAGGATATCTATAGGATCTATAGGAGCTCATGTTCCCCTACTAGAAAGGCTGGAAACCCCTCGAGATGCAAGTGTGACCACACTACCTAGGCACTCCTCCCTGCCTCCCTTCAGTGCTGGGAAGCCCGAGTCCACCCTTTGTGTAGTTAAATCACTCCCTTTGTCTCCCCAGGTCTCTGGGGTAAGGTCCTTACCTAAGGTCATTGATCTTGAGCCTAATTTTTCACTTTTTAAATTTTACTTATTTATTTTTGGGTTTTCGAGACAGGGTTTCTCTCTCTAGCTTGGTACCTGTCCTGGAACTCACTCTGTACACTAGGCTGGCCTCGAAATCACAGAGAACTGCTTGCTTCTACTTCCCAAGTGCTGGGATTAAAGATGTGCCACCCAGTCCTAATTTCTTTTTATTTGGAGTTGTGGAGACGGGGTCCATCACCTAGACCATACTCAGAATACGTCCAGACGCCGTCCAACTCAGCAATCCACCACCTCAGCTTCCCACCGTGCGTGCGTGCGTGCGTGCGTGCGTGCGTGCGTGCGTGCGTGCGTGTACGTACACACAAGGGGGGCACTCGTGTGGAGGTAGAGACAGACTTTAGATGGTTTGAGACAGGAGGATCTTCCCTGGGGACTGTCCTGTCTTCACCTCCCTCTTCTCCATACGTGCTGATGATTACAGATTTGATGCAGGCCACCATATTCATCATTCTTTTTGAGACAGGGACTCCTGTAGCCCATGCTAGTCTTGAACTTGGGATTCTCCTGCTTCAGGCTCACGACTCTTAGGACTACAGGACTATACCATCATTTGCTTTAACTACACTTACAAAATGTCTTAACGTAGAGGCAAGAAAATTGCAAGTTCAAAGCTATCCTGGGCTACATACTAAAACTTCATCTCAGCCAAAAGAAAAAAGCCAAGCCCTCAGCGGTAGGTACTTAGAGTCCCATATGACTAGTAACTGGAACTATTTCCCAAAGTGATGCATCAACTGATCACCTGGGCACCCAGCACACATCTCCTAGACCATTTCTTGTTTCTAGAAATGGTTCAGGGATGTAGTGATCTTGCATACAACTGAAAACACACTGGCCTGTCCAAGGCAGAACTCGAGAGTTTACAGCCAGGGACTCGCACCGTACATTTGCTAAGACATGGCAGTCTGTGGTATAGGAAGACAGGTACAGCCCTACAGAGTTGATGTCAACATACCACATGCTGGTAGGTGTGGCATCTAGCATCAGATACAAGGCCCAACTACTTAAAACCATACTCAAGGTTTTAGACAGCAGACCATGGGGCAACAGTGTATATCCCACAACCCCACACCATAGAAGATGGGCACCAAGCTATAGTCATTCAAAAAAGATGGCAGCCCTGTGCAATGTGAGCAAAGATTCCTATATTCCTAGAGATTAACAGAATGCAGCATGGTACATAAGCCTGTAATAGCAGCATGCGGGAGGACCAATGCAGGTTTTGAGTCCAGACAGCTACATAAGTGAGATCTTGTCTCCAAAGAGAAAAAAGATGGTTGTCTGGGCTCTTGAGGTGGCTCCATGGGTAACCACGCTTGCTACCAAGTTAGGTGACTTCAGTTCAGTCCCTGGGACTTGCATGTTGGAAGGAGGGAACTGCCTCAAGTTGTCTTCTGACTTGCACACTTGTTTAAAAAAAAGTGTGTTAGTGGCCTACACTTGTACTAGCATTTGAGAGCCTGAGGCAGGAGGATGGTTTGAGACCAGCCTAGGCAGAAATAGGCACTCAGTCAAAGAAACCCTTGCTAGGCAGGTGACAGCAGGCTGGAGGGGAGAAGGTATTAGGTCTTACGGATACCACCAGCAAAAGTGTAGAGAAGCACAGAGCACTGGCCAGCCTCTGACGGGAATGTGCTCTCAAAGAGTGAAGAAGTTTTAGCTAGGTTCAGGGAGCACGGGAGGAAGCCTAGATGGGATCACGAAAGGGCCTTTTCCTGACCTTACCGGCACAGAGAAGTTGTACAGGCCTGTGTAAAACCCCACGCCAGGGAGGGTCTATGTATGAGATGAGAAACCACAGAGCCAGCCAAAGTGGCTCATGCTTGGAATCTCAGCACTTGAGAGGTAGGGGTAGGAGGGCTGCTGCAAGTCCCAGGGCTTGCGTCTCATATCTGCAGGCTGACTGACCCTGACCATGGGCACGCTCCCCACCCCCGCCTGGTAGGGATTAGCACACCGGCCATCCTCCCACATACATGGACCCTGCTCCGTGAGCAAGTACTAAAGCAACCATCTGACCACGTGACTACCGAACCCTGTAACCACCACTTAACCCGCTATCTCTCACCCATCAAGACTTTGCCCATCACATGCTGAGTCAGCTCTGTGGCAGAGCAGCCTCATTCGCTGGGGACAGATAAGATTGGCTCAGACACTCAGTATCTAGGTGCGGGTGTGTGCACGTCTGTTCTGCCCACAGGCAGACGCAGGAGCACAACACAATCAGCACCCCAGCAACTCGCCCCATCATGTGCCGGCTGCTACGTCAGGCACCAAAGTCCACTGGTTTCCACTGCCTTGTGACTGGTCCATAGAGGAACTATGTCCAGACTCGGGTCTACTACACTCAGGAACAGGCAACCACAAATAAGAACAGATCCACAAATACCATTTGTATACATGGTACAACAGGGCCAAGCGAGCCACAGAAAGCCCATACTCTACTTCAAGGTCCTGCATGCTGAATCCTATCACCCAGACACCTGCTAGGAATGACACACTTAAGTCACACGTCTCAGCGATTCCGTTACACACAGATGGGTGGGGTGGAAGTTCCCACGAAGCCCCTCAAAGACAGCTGCAGGAGTTACAGTTGACAATCCTCCGGAGGCCACTTGCAGCACACATGGTCTAGTCAGTGGCAGACAGGTGGCTTCACTTTTTTTTTTTTTTTTTTTACAGAATCCTGCTCTATAGGGCCCTTAAGCACAGGTCACACACACAGACGTCGCCCGCACCTAAGCCCCCAATTGCTTACCTAGAAACTTTAAGACTCCCCACAACACACATGTAGCAAGCACACCTCCCTCCCGCTGGAGGCTGGCATATTGGCTGTTCCCTTGCAACACCTGCCTAGACCACACTCACAGGCAATCACGACAGGCCCACACGTGCCAGGAGTACGTGGGCCCTAGCCCGCCTACCCGCCGGCCCACCGGCTCTCACACCCCCAGGTTTCCTGTCCCCGCTTGTTTTTCTGGAAACTCAGCTCTGAGTTCTCCTCCCCCCCCCCCTTCACCTCAGCCGGAAGTGCTTGCTATATTTTTAGCCTCTCTGGTTTCCACCCCCTTTCGCTCCCCCAGCCCCCACCCCAGCGCGCACAGGACGTGGCCGAGTGCCTCGCAAGAAGACCTTGGCCATCCTCCCCCCCCACCCTCCCCACCGTCATTCCAGAGGGGATTCCCGGCCACTGCCAGGGCCGCGGATTTTCCCCGCTGGCTACGTGGGGAGCAGGGAGGAGTCAGGCCATGAACTTCCTGTTGGGATGAGGGCACCCAAGCGGGAGTTGGACAGGACACTTATTTCCAGAGAATAAGGTCTGGGGCCTGGATATCAAGTGTGAGGGGGAAGTGGGGCCTGGACGCCTCTAGGTTTGAGGAGGAGGGCCAGAGTTCTAAGGGAGAATGAGTGGGGTCTGAACGCCTGGGTCTGAAGGAGGCCATGCCCCACTTAAGATCACCTGTGTCTGGATCCCTGGCCAAGCGAAGAGAGGGGTGGTGGAGGGGGGAAAGAGCCGTGCACCTGACCCGGTATTCTAAGATAAAGACGTCTCACGTCGTGAGTCCTACTGCTTCTAAAGTCATAATTTTCAGAGGATCGTGATCCTTACACCTCTGCCCACCCCCCACCCCAGCACCCTTTGGAGAGTAGCCGAGACCCAGGCGGCCAGGCTTTTCGTCCCAGTGACTCAGCAGATAGAGGGGTCCAAGTTGAGTCAGGGATGGCAAAAGCTCCCAGTCCCCAGGGAATCGAAACTGGAATTACTTCTCCATGATCCAGACCCAGCTGGCCTCCGAAAACCCCAGCATGCCCCACCCCAACCCCCTTTCCCTGCGCTTGGTCTTAAAATCGGCTGGCTCAGGGATTTGTAAACTGGGCGGGAGGCAAGTTTTTTGGACCCCTCCTTCCCTTCTTTTCCCGTTGTCCTCGAGACTGTTTACAACAGACTGGAGCCCTGGTTACAGGAGAGGAACCCAAGCGTCCGGGCTGAGCGTCCTCGTCACGGCTTCCAGGAAGCCCCCCCCCCCCCGCCCTAAGCGAGTGAGTCACGGGCGAGCGGGAGGCCGCAACCGTGCCACAGCAGCCTAGGGCCCGCCCAGCTCACGGGACCAGCCCAGGAAGGCCCCTTGGCCCCAGAAAGCGCTGCACCAGGGATTCCCCCCCCCTCCCCCGGGCTCCGAGGAAGCAAACCAGTGAGAAGCCTAGCCGAATCTCCCCACCTCAATACAAGGCGCAACGCACCGTGCAAGAACTTCCCAACATTGTAATTACACTTCTAGCAATGATAACCTCCGTACCCAAACACACTTTTTCGCTGGTGGTACCCTTGAAGAAACACTTTTTTAAAACTTGGGTGTGGCGGCGGGGCATACTTCTAATCCTAACACTACTTGGGAGGTGGGGACCAGAAGATTCCGAGTTCCAGGCCAGCCAAGAGGTCCTGCTGAAAAACAAAAACCTTACAGATCTGGTGGAGAACGATCCTCGAGAGAATTTAAACTTTAGTTAAGACTGCTTACATTACAAGAGACCCATTCAACGTTGAAGGTGCCCAGTGCCCCCACCCTTTTCAATGGAGGTGAGCTTCCTCCCTAATAAAAGACTCAAGCTATTCCAACCTTGAGTTTTCGGGACGAAGGCTCTTAATAATTGAAAAACGCAACTGGGGAAAGGGGCCCTGTCCAGCCTCATTGGTTCTGCGCCTGGAGGTTTTAGT